TACCATTATCTGAAATTAAAGACTCTGGAATTCCATGAACTGAAAATAGTTTTATTTGTCACTCATTTGTAAAACGTCATTTAACAAGTCAAAACATAAACAACGAAAATTGATTTTTACCAGTTACTGGCTCTACTGACTTGTAAAATTGACAGCTAAACTGTAAAAACTTTTTACAAGTCAGTAAGGTCAGAGAATTATTTATTAAAATTGTATTACCTATATGTATTAATTTTTTATTAATTGTTTAAGATTGTTTACAAATGAGTAACAAATAAATTATTGTACATCATACGCCAGGTATCAGTTTTTACTGGCTCTTGAAGGTGACAAGCTCGCCTGACGGCTCGCTAGTCATTTCCTTCAATCACCAGTAAAAACTGTTTTACCTGGCTAATAATGTAAAATACTATTATTTGTCACTCATTTGTAAAACGTCACTTATCAAGTCAAAACATAACCAGTGGAAATTGATTTTTACAAGCTACTGGCTCTACTGACTTGTAAAATTGACAGCTAAACTGTAAAAACTTTTTACAAGTCAGTAGAATTATTTATTTTTGAAAAATCGGTTTTATCACAAGAATAATTGCTTGTAGGTACCTTCTGGGAGACTTTTCTGGTGATAAACTGTTGGCTACGACTGCAGCTTCATTAATAATATCTTGTAATAAATTCATTTCTGGAAAAAAATTGCAAAATGGAAATCTGTCAAAAAACCTATTTATAACTAGAAACAACGTCTTAACAACGTATCATTCTCATAGTTATACCAACTACCAAAACTTCTGTGAGAAAAAATCAAGGAAAAACATATAAATTTCAAATTTTTGTTATGTATTGATTCTTTATTTGTCCCTATATCTTTTACAAATGAGTAACAAATAAATTATTGTACATTATACGCCAGGTAGCAGTTTTTACTGGCTCTTGAAGGTGACAAGCTCGCCTGGCGGCTCGCTAGTCATTTCCTTCAATCGCCAGTAAAAACTGTTTTACCTGGCTAATAATGTAAATAGTTATTTTCCTAACAAGTGCGCAAAGTGTTACTTTTCCGCACGCAAACACAGTTATACGAACGACGCGAAGCGGAGTTCGGATAAGTGTTTGCGTGCGGAAAAGACACTTTGCGCACGTGTTAGGAACAAAATTTTTCCTACGAGCTTCATATCAAGTAGGTAACAACAAAAATTTAAAAAAAAAAAACGATAATTTGTTCAATTATTTTTAATTAACTTGGAGCGAACCTACGCATTTATCAAACAATTACGTAACAAAAAAAATAATAATAAAAAATCCTCGTCAGAGCTGTTCATCTTAAAGCGTTTAAATTTGATGAGAAAGTTTGTAGATTCTTGCATATAAATAGAGAACAAATCTGACAATGTGTCAAAGTTAATTATATTCGGTGTTCGTATAGATGTAGGCTGCTAAAGAAACAGAGAAAAACTTGTCATCATGTGTCAAAGTCGACAGGTACACTTATTGTTGCTTGACAATTATTTTTACTTTTCGGCACTCAGTGCGGATAAGGCCTGTATCCGCACTGAGTGCGGAAAAGTGTAACTTTGAGTACCGAAATGCGTGCGGAAAAGTACTACTTTGCGCACGCTCGTAGGAAATAGTTATTTTCCTAACAAGTGCGCAAAGTGTTACTTTTCCGCACGCAAACACAGTTATACGAACGACGCGAAGCGGAGTTCGGATAAGTGTTACGTGCGGAAAAGACACTTTGCGCACGTGTTAGGAACTAAATTTTTCCTACGAGCTTCATATCAGGTAGGTAACAACCAAAATTTAGAAAAAAAAAACAATAATTTGTTCAATTATTTTTAATTAACTTGAAGCGAACCTATGCAGTTATCAAAAAATTACATAAGAAGAAAAAAAAAATAACAGAAAATCATCGTCAGAGCCCTTTATCTTAAAACGTTCAAATTTGATGAGAAAGTTTGTAAATTCTTGCATATCAATAGAGAACAAATCTGACAATGCGTCAAAGTTAATTAAATTTGGTGTTTGTATAGATGTTGGCTGATATAGAAACAGAGGAAAAATTTGTCATCATGTGTCAACGTCGACAGGTGCACTTATTGTTGCTTGACAATTATTTTTACTTTTCGGCACTCAGTGCGGATAAGGCCTGTATCCGCACTGAGTGCGGAAAAGTGCAACTTTGAGAACCGAAATGCGTGCGGAAAAGTACTACTTTGCGCACGCTCGTAGGAAAATACTATTTTCTACTTGCGTGCGCAAAGTCAGGGCCGGATTAAGGGGAGGGCTTTGGGGGCTAAAGCCCCGGGCCCCCAAAATGAGGGGGGCCCCAAAACACCACCTCACGCGGGGAAGAAATCATGCATATAATTTACACCATACAAAACCGTCGTTTTCAAAATTCGTAGCCACACACTCCAGATTTGTTGACATTTTAAACATAAAATCAGGTGAAGCCAGATATTTGCATCGATTTTGTATGCCAGCAAAAATGACAATTTTTCGCGCACACACTTCGGTTTTGTGTCGTTTTTGCTCGATCAGCCCAGCCCAGCGTTTTTGAGAACCAGAATACCAGCCAAGGGCATTTACAACAGAACTGTCCAACAAAACCGCAGTATGTGGGCCCCTTTACAATTTGAGAGCGTTAACCACCAGTCATTCTGTAATCATAACTTTTTGGCGTTAATATGCATAATATCAAAAATATTTATACGAGAAAGTTGTAGAGAACTACTATATCTAGCTGATTACATGGCAAAATTTTTTATTCGCCAATTTTTTAATTTTTATTTTGATTTAAAAAACAAATTTTAGAAATGTTACTAAGTACGGCGATAGTGGTGAATAATTATTCAGAAATATTTATTCAAGAATAGTTATTTGTGCAACCAGTTGGGAAAAGCACTATTTTTCGTAACGAACTGATTTCTCGCAAAAGGAAGAGAGTTACGAAAAATAGTGTTTCCCAACGTGTTTCACACAATATTTTTTCTAATTTTCACCATGTGATCCTGTTTAATTCAAGTTAAAAATATAAAAAACATACTTCGAAAAGTTGACCTTTTGTTTCGACGCCATATTGCGGTGCGCGAACATAGTTGCCAAAACAAGAAAACCAAAAATTACTAGCGGGCTGTCAACTAGATATTTTATTATTTCTATTCTGCCCAATACAAGCTAAAATTGATGGCTTTTCTTTCCAAAAACATTCGTAATAGGCGGCAAATTTGAATTTTAAATGTAATTTTTTCACTAACTTTGGATTTTAAAGTTAACAGAACGCTAGTAATTTTTTTTCTACTGTTGGCAACTATGTTCGCGCACCGCAATATGGCGTCCAAACAAAAGGTCAATTATGTCTAATTGTCAAGCGTAAGGTGAGTTCAGAGATGTTTATTTGTTAAGTATTTCGTTTTTCGTTGCTACAGAAGCAATAGTATCAAGCATAGAGGTGTCAAGTCTGCGTAATTAATATTGTTCTTATATAAACCACTCAAACTTTATAGAGTAAAAGAATAATTATTAGATTCTAATGTCCATCAATTCAGGAAGCGACGTACCGAGTGACATTGAGGAGTCGGCTCAACCTGCTCTATCTACAATAAATTATTCCTTTTAAGAAGTCAAAAAGTCGAGCAAAAAGCAAATATGATTTAATCCTATGTCAAATTTAGTTCATGGTCAAATTAAATTTCCACATGTACCTACAAAGAATATAATAACCGAGATATAATAACAATACTTCAAGTAGTTTAGCGTTAAAATTATTACAAATTTTATTTCTGTATTTTTAGCAACTGATAGTGAAATTTACTTTTCATCACCAGTTGCGAAAAATTTTACTTTTCGTAACTGGTGATGAAAAGTAAGACATTTGATAACGTCAACGAGTTTTGAAAAGTGTCACTTTAAATGTCAAAATTAGAGAAAAAAAATTCCAAATCAAACAGTTTGTCCAAAATTACATTTTTTTAACCTGCAAGGTAAAATTTTGAGTGACATTTGAATTTATTTCAGGGACCTAGGGGCCCCTTTTGTGAGAATAGCCCCGGGCCCCAAAAGACCTTAATCCGACCATGCGCAAAGTAATCACTTTGCGCACTCATTTTGTTGAACTTTGCGCACGGAAACTCTTTGCGCACTCATTTTTGTTACGCATAATTACCATAGTTATACTTGATTTTCCAATGTTTTGATGGTTTCTGAATAAACAAATACTCAAAATGAAGGGTTTTAGTTGAAATTAGCGCTTAGTTAACATGATGTTTCCTATCAAAGGTGTCCAAATTGGACCAGCCTGTACTGCTAGGAATATGTAGAATTTTTGATATTTGAGAGACTCTCATGGAAATATTCTCGCTGGTATTCTAGAAATTCCAAAAGATGTTAAAAGATTTTTGGGGATTTAATTTAAAAGACATTCTGAGGAATTCCAATAGATTTTAAACGATTTTTGAAGATTTGATTTGATTGATTTTTTTAATATTTTAACAATTCAAAGTCTACTTTTTCAAGATACTTGTAGAAAAAATATTGTTCCTAACACTTGCGCAAAGCCCACATAGCATTCAATATATTCTGTATATACCTTAAAAGTCCATGATGTGTAAAATATATCGCCAACATGTTTTCTATATACACTGTATATCCTAAATTAACATCCTCTTACAAGTCTGCGAATGTATATGAAATGTATGTTCGATGTGGACATTATATGCTTTCCGTCAAATAAATGTTTATTTGGTATATACATAGTATATACATAATGAACTTTGAACATTTTGCTAAAATTTACTTTCGCATGAGGGCGCTGTTGTATTACAGTGCTGCCAGACTCAACTGTTCTTCCCTTCAATTCAGATTTCGCAATAAGTTCAAGTAAATTTTGTTGAAATTTTTTGTTTTTGAATACTAAAAACTATTGTAGATCTTTGACATTTTTTTCTGCTAACCAAATTAGGGAAAATATCTAGTTTGAAATAAAGTTTTTCCAATTTTCAGGCTTTTGTTATAGGGTTAAGGGTTAAAGGAAAAAAAGATCTGGCAACAATGCCTGAGGCGTGCGCGTCCGTCGTCGTTCGTCGTTCTTTCGACTTTCCGTCCCCGTTCGGTTGTACCACGCCACCACGGCCATTTCTATTTTCTTCGTTTCCTCAATTACAATTTTTAATTTAAGTGCAATAATCGCATTATTCGCATTCACGCTAAGTATCCATAATCTCCAGTATATTGAAAAATTCAAGTGAAAAGCCCTGTACTCTTTCTTTCACTGGTTACGGACAGGAATTTTGCCTGGCTGGGCTGGCGTCACTTTCTCTGTCCGCCATTATTGTCGTAGCTAGCTGAGCGTCATTGTGCATTTTCATTTTTTGTTCAACGGGAGTCGGGAGTGAGTGGAGTGTTTTGTTTTTTTTGGTAAGTTTTAAACTATTACTACTAGATACTTGAATTTTGAATTATCCCTTATTGTCTAATTACAATCTTTGGCACTGCGGCACAGCCGAAACCATCAAAATTTCAAAACTAAGCTCAAAACCCGTTTACGATTTAGATAAATTTATTCTGGGAATGTAAAAATTTTGTGGCTATTTTGAACTTATTGTGGGTTTATCGTTTATCAAACAAATAGAATTAGATTGCATCGTGGGTGGCTAGATCAATCGCTTGTTAAGGCTTGTAAGTTAACAAGAACCTTAGAATGGGCCACACAGAAACAATGTCATATTGACATTGCACATTCTAAGGTTTTTGTTTACTTAACAAGCCTTAACAAGCGATTGATCTAGCCACACTAATTAGATACGTCCAGAGCCAAAATTTGAATATACCTAGACTTTGCCTATGGGTTGGGTTTGGATACGATACAACAGTTCAGGGCTTGCCTCGGGGCTTACTAAGAAAATTGATACCACAATAATTATTGCTTATATTTCCAAGTTGTTCCCATATCATCACAAAAGATAGTTTTTTAATAGGTAGGTACCTACCATTGCCAAAAATACAACTTCATCAACCAGTTAGATCAAAATTTGGATAATGAATTTATTGATCTATTTCCCTTGGACATTGAAAAACTTAATAGCCTTGAAAATCGTTTGAATAACGAAATTGAAATGAAGAAAATGGTGAGCCTTATTAATTTATATTAATTTATGTTGATAAATGTATTATTTCTGATATTTTAGATAAAGTATTTAAGTCGAGTTGGAGGCAGTGATGTACCTGAAATTGTAAAACGATTGATGTATAAATTGTTAACAAATGAAGTTGGAAATTTATTCAGTTGGGATGGAGCCAAAGGAAAGAGAAAATTCAAATGTTTAAAGTTAGCCAATGTCATTTTAGGTATGCCAATGTGTAAGAATATATGTAATATGTCTGGTAATACTAAATATTATTTCGTTTCTAGATACTGTGCGAGCTAACAATCACACTAAAAATGCCACAGAAGCCGATATTATTGTCTACATAAAAAAATGGTTGGTGCGATCAAAGGATCGCATGCATCTGGAAGATAAGCGAAGAAGGTTAGTTTTGAAAATATTGTTGCCTAGTATTGTTCATATGTTGTTGAGCCCTTAAATGAGAAAATATATTCATTTATTTTCTTAGATGAAATTTTCTTCAGTTTATTTATTTTTAGACGGAATGAAAATCAGGAAGAAGAGGACGGAAATCAGGAAGAAGAGGACGGAAATGATACTATGTAAATTCGCATAGCATAAATCTTTAGTTTATTATTATACATCAAATTCTAAAGTTCATTATTATGTAATTGGGTTTTTTTATAATATTGATAATGATTATTTTGCTTACTCTGTCCAGTTGCTGGAAGACAAATTAGCATGGATGCAATTCGAGCCAGAAAAATCATGATTTCAGGTAGTGCCTGAATTGCGTGAATGCAGATTTGTCAGAAAGTAAACCGAACATTGTTTTTCTCATGAATGAATCTTTCTTTTGTAAAATGTAAAAAAAACAAATAAATGGTCTCAAAAAAATGTTCGTTATAATTTCTTCCTCTCATGACGTTTTTTACAAGTAAGTATGTATCTGAGAAAAGGACTATCAAATGCCTGATAATTTTAAGACCATTTTTTTTTCAGTTGCGCTGGCTGGTAAGAAGTACAGGTAAGAAAGCAACGTGCTTTTGATTGTCATAAAATTATCCCGAGCATGTAATGTCCTAGGGATAATATATCTGACAACGACCACAAAAGCGGAGGTTTCCTGGGACTGTCGGTCAGCGGAATTCGGTTCAGATAGAATGTGTATGACTAAATTACAGTTTAATTTGTTCCATACGCATTCTATCTGAACCAAAATCCGCCACGGACAGTCATGGGAAGCCGCAGCTAAAAAAAACGAATTCACGAAAAGAATATTCATTGCATAAACGCGTTTAATATATAATGGAGGTATAATGTATATAAAAGACATAAGGCGAATATCCATCAAATCTAGGCTAGTATATGCCCCCAATATACACGAATATCCAGGATATGCGATGTATATACCTTATGTACATACTATGTATAATGTATTTTGTGACAAATATATATCCGTAAAACATGAAATGAATATACTTGACATTAAAAATGGAGATTCTGTGTATATGCACAGGTTTATTGTGAATATACATAAAATCTGCATCAAATAAACTTTTGCTATGTGGGAGTGTCTTTCCCGCACTCAAAGCTTATCCGAACTCCGCTTCGCGTCGTTCGTCTAACTGCTTTTTCGTGCGGGAAAGTATCACTTTGCGCACTTGTTAGGAAAATAACTATTTTGAGTGATTTTATGACACTCACACTTTTGTCATTTGGGAGTTTTTGTACATCCACAAATTTCGAAAAATAATCCACCGTAATCAAGAAACTTTCATTATTAAAATAAAAAATATCGGTAGCAACCTCTTTCCACGGTCCAGATGGTACTTTGTGAGGTAACATTGGTTCTTTTTGGTTAAACTTGCTATTAGACAGACAAATATCACAGGATTCGACTAGATTTTCAATATCTGAGTTAATTGTAGGCCAAAATATCAACTGTTTTGCATTTAATTTGGTTTTCGTAATACCTAAATGTCCCACATGCCACATGCAACCTAGACAACATTTCTCTTCTAAGTGATTTTGGAATGAAAATTCTATTATTTTTAAAAATCAAGTTTTTTGAATAAGTAAGCTCGTCTTTGTGAGGCCAATAAATTTTATATTCTTCACCTAACTTTTTTTTATTACTAGGAAAACCTTCTGTAATTAATTTAATTAGCCCTTGAAGATGACTATCTTTTAAAGTTTCCCTTCTCAAGTTTTCAAATTTTTCTTGACTGATCGGCAAGTTTTCAGTGACAAATAATAAATGATTATCAAATTCTAAGCATTTCCTTTCAAAAATTTCATCCACATCATTTTGAAATGCCCTACTCAGCGCGTCAGCTAAAAATAGCTGTTTTCCTGGTTTGTATATTAATTTAAAAGAGTAAGGTTGTAACATCAATAACATACGTTGCAAACGTGCTGGTGCACTTATAATTGGTTTCTTTATAATGTTTACTAACGGTTTATGATCTGTTTCGATGGTTACATCGGAACGACCAAAAATATAATTGTGAAACTTTGTGCTCGCATGACAAATTGACAGCAACTCTTTTTCTATTTGAGCATATCGCTCCTGAGTGGGAGTGAATGCTTTTGATGCATAAGAAACCGGTGCATCATTTTGTAACAGTACCGAACCACAACCATTTTGAGAGGAATCGCAAGACATTACTATAGGCAGTTTCCTAGAATAAAATTGTAAAATAGGAGCATTCATGAGTAGATTTTTTATTTTTTCAAAGGATTCTTCTTGACTCTCACCCCATTCAAATTTGACATTTTTTCTGATTAACATATCATTCTGAGTGGTTCTGTTAATTCGGAAAAGTTTGGCACAAATCTATTTAAATAATTTAAAACTCCAAGTAAACGCTCTATATCTTTTGGACATTTAGGTTTTGACAGATTTTTGACAGCTTCAACTTTATTTTGATCAATTTCTAGACCTTTTTGTGATAAATTGAATCCCATGTATTTAACACTACTAACACAAAATTTACATTTATTTACATTAAAACGTACATTGAACTTTCTGGCTGTTTTAAAAACTTTCTCTAAAATCCTAAGATGTTCCTCCAAGGACTCGGAAAAAATTAATAAATCATCTATATATAATTCTACCCCCTCTATGCTTTCAAAAAGTTGCCTTAAACGTTTCATAAATACTTCAGATGCTGAGTTTATGCCATATGGCATCCTAGCAAAACAATATCTACCCCAAGGAGTATTAAAGGCCCATTTATAAACTTGACGTTGCAATTCCGTTACCGTTTGCGCCTGCCGTTGTGAACATAAAAATATAGGATTCCATAAGATCGTTTATATTCGCGGTCGGCCTCACCGTCCGCCGTTAGCTCTGCCGTTGCATTCCGTCAGACATAAACCAATTTTATCTTTTCCGTTGTCGACGTCTGTAGCAAGTCATGCTACAGTTTATATTGATTATTTTGATTTTTGGAATTTTAAATTTTGTTTGGGTTCATGTTATTTTATCATCAATAATTAAACAATGGTAAATCACCACCAAATCGTCCAAATCACTCATAAAATGACAAAATGAGGGCACACGCACAAAAGAGGTTATGTTTATTATTTACTTTTTGAGAACGTCAAACGGCAAGTTTATAAATTGTCCAATTTTTGTGGCTGGAACGGCGGGGCTAACGGCGAGCTCGTCTGTAGGCGCAAACGGTAACGGAATCGTAACGTCAAGTTTATAAATGGGCCTTAAATGTTGTTAGCCTGCTACTTTTTTTATTTAATTTAACTTGCCAAAAACCATTGCTACAATCCAACACAGAAAAAATTTTGGAACCTCTGACTTTGCTAATTATGTCATCTAAATTTGGTAAATAGTAATGTTCTCTCTTAATTGCATTGTTTAGATCTTTACTATCAATACAGAGTCTTAAGTCGTTATTTTGTTTTTTAACTATGACTAAACTGTTTACCCATTCTGTCGGTTCGTCCACTTTTTCTATGATCTTGGCTTGTTCTAGCTGCTTCAATTTCTCCCTGAGGCGTTCGTGAAGAGCATATGGCACTTTTCTCTGAGGGTGAATCCTTGGAGGTTTATTCTCATCTAGCTCAATATTGTATGTGCCTGGCAAGCATCCTATTCCCTGAAAAATATCATTATAATTATTAATTAATTTATCACAGCTTTTGTTTACGCTCACATTATTTACACAATTTTCAGGTACTCTTTCTATCAATTTTAACAATACACAGGAATTTCCATCCAATATTGGTGGCTTATTTGTATTTACAATGTTAAATTTAATTTTCACGCTTTTGCATTTAACATTGCACTGCTTTATTTTCAAATAAATAGTTCCCATTGAAATAATTTTTCCCTCGCTATAACCAACTAAATTAACGTCTGGTTTTTCTAGGTTTTCCACAGGAATGCTTAATTGTTTAAAATAATGCAAAGGTAAAATAGAAATATCCGCGCCAGAGTCTAAATGGTACCTTAATTTTATTATTTATGTATAAGTTTTGTATCCAATTTTGCTTATTATTACTTACAGAGTTGTTTTTTATGGTGAAAATGCTGAGTTCATCGTCTGAAACATCGCTAGAACTGGAAGAATTTTGCTGTTCTACATTGTTTACAAATTTTTTTCGATTGCACATTCGAGAAAAATGATTAAATTTGCTACATTTTTCGCACTGTTTACCAAAGGCTGGGCAGGCATTTAGCTTGTGCGATGTACCACATTTGTAACAATTATTAATAAAATTTTGTTTAAAATTTTGCGAGAAATTTGAAGAGTTAGGATGTTTACTTATCTTATTTCTATGGCCGCCATGTTGACGTTGAAATCCCTGATGTTCTTGGCGTTTCTGCGACCAATGCGCATGCTCCTTGTTTGATGATGAGGGACCATTTTGAAACTTGAATTTGCCGCCTTTTTTGCCCATTTTTACCATGCTGACCTCTGATTGACCTTTGGATGATTCGCCCATGATTTCCATTCTTTTCGCGGTTGCTTCTGCAGTCCTGCAAGTTTCCAGTGCCCTTGCAAGAGTGAGGTTATTCTCCCGAAGCAGTTTGTCCTTCGTTCATGGCCATGTCTGAAATCCCCAAAATCAGACGGTCTCGAATCAGGCTTTCTTCCAGGGTACTAAATTCACAGCTGCTAGCTAACTGTCTCAGCTCTGTGACATAGTCGTCGTAGCTTTCTTCTTCCTTCTTGTTTCTTGTGTTGAAAATATATCTTTCGTAGGTTATGTTCTTCGTAGGAGTGAAATATTCAGAAAATGCCTCAATTATATCTTTGCAATGGGTTTTATTTTTTCCTTGCTTCCATTGAAGGTTGTTGTAAATCTTTAGGGCTTTATCTCCAATTCGATTTAGTAAGATAAAACCTTTTTCTTCTTCTGTTTTCCCATTTTGTTTGCTGGCTTTTAGATATATTTCGTTCGAATTTTTGTTTGAAGAATGCCCAATTTTCAGCCATGTGCCCATTGAAACTCAGCTCACCTGGCGGGATTGCATGTTCTTTGCCTGACGCCATGATGATGATGCTTCTTTTTTTTTTTTTTTTTTTTTTTTTTTTAGCTTGCTTTAACTTATCGCGATTTTGCCGAATTTACTTAATTTAGACGCGTGTTTTCGAGAATTCTGACACCATATCGTATTTTCACTCTTTTGTTAAAATACTTTTACTTAATAAAGATATTTGACTTCAATTTTATTTCTTAAAATTATCGATGTGAGGGAACGAAAATAAAACACATGTTGCTCGGTGCAAGCCAGACCAGAAAGAGGATTTATTAGATGAAGTATCTTTTGACAATAGTCATGCGCAATATGTATTTAATGATGTTCATTTGATTTCAAGTTTAAATTCAAATATCACACTTTGATTTAAGAATAATTCTTTTCAAGCAAATATGCGAAACTATTATGTTATTTCCATAAAGCTTAATTAAACAATTATTTTTCTTTTTCAGCACAGAAAATTGATGATATATCGGATGTTACCAGTAGTATTAGTTTTGACAAAGAAAAAATTTTTTGATTTTCACCATCAACATGGGTAAATGCTTCGAGCTTTGTTGTGTTGTTTTTGATGGTTGGCTATTAGACTTTGACTAGGTTGCTCACTTTTATAAACGTTACTATTTTTGTTCGTTTTATCTATATATCTACAAGTAAGTAATATTGTAGTTGCAGTGCCTTATTGAATAAAATACAATTTCATTTTCAATAATGCTTTTCTTTAGCCCAGAACATACCTCCTCTGGAATCTACAACTCAATTGCATCTATTTAAAATCCAGCATTTTTGAACAAAATTTGTATGTGTATAGTAAAAAAAATTAAGCTTATGTGAGTACAACTGAGGAATAAATTTATCCGAACTTTAGCCGAGGAAAAATAACCCAAAACTCACATTATTGTTCTAATAAAGGGTGTCTGGAATAACTTGATGTACCTACATGTAGAATAATGGCTATTTTGGAAATCATTGAAGATACAGAGTGGGCCAAATGGGGAAA